AAATACACATTGCTAGGAAGATTGGTAAACTTCAAGTAATTTCCTAACCAAACTTCAATTGATGTTGAAAACTTGAAATGTACACCTGAAATTACACAATTTGTTGATCAATATGAAAATCTTACGGTTGAAGTCGAGATTTCCATTGGGCAATTGCTTCATTATACAGAACAAAATGTTCACTCACTGTGATAGTGCATAAATTTCCATAAAGAACATAAAGGTGAACAAAAACATAGAACATAAAATACCTTTTGTCCAACTTCCAAATCATGTTTGTTTTCAGACTATTAATTACGATGCAAATATTAATACAATTCAAAACCACTTTGGAAAGCACACAAATTCACAGTCTTTCCTCACTTGTTTATTTCAATTAAATCCTTTCCTCAGTTGCATTATGAAAGAAAATCTTCTAGGACTGCCACAGCTTTTATATGGTACTATGGTTATTTAATAATTATTAAATCTTGTTAGCCCTTTTTTCAAGTGACCCTTTAATTAATTTAAATTATAAAGGATTTGCGTCGACAACTCGCAGAATATTTTCACACTTTCCGTTGCGGTCCCAGAAAATAAATAATTTTTTCCACCCCTGCTCGTGGCCTCGGGCAAGGTGTTCATTAGCGGAGCGAAATTGAAACCTTTGAAGTGCAAGTCAACTAACATAGTCCATACAAATATATTTTCAGCCAGATAGCATCCTCGCATCAATGATCTACTTCCCAGATTTTTTTTGAGGAAATTGTAAAGTCGAACAGTGTTGTATTTTATGTTTTTTTCATAATAGTTATACACTGTATATTAGTTTTGGCCAATTTAAGTTGTGAAATTGCTACCTAAACGTAACGGGGTTACGATGTCTGCTATACCTTGGCAGTATATACCATTGCCTTCGAAACCATCATTGCAGGAGCAGTTGTACGATCCAATAGTATTTGTACACGTGGCATTGTCATGACAATCATTTTCACCATCACACTCGTCAATTTCTGCGGTAGAAAACATAAAAACAATATTGGAAACAGAAACTTTTCGATTTCAAAATTACTACCAGTGATATAGGTGGCAAAGTCACCTAACGCCCGCTTGCGTGTAGTCACTTTAGTGGGTATAAAAAAGAAGCCATATAGATAAAATATTCTGTTTCGTTTCCACGATCCGCTACTAATTATGACCACAACCCGTGTTATCTATCCGCTGTCCTTTCCGCTTCCATTCATCACTTACCTGTAGATATTTGCTGCAGTAGCGAGCGAGCGTGAAGCGAGCGAGCGAGGCAGCAATCCTAATCTTTATGTATATGTATATATATATATATATATATAGCTTAAGATTTTGGTTTACGAAACACAAACAGTGCTCAATACCATATAGATAGAGCGTAATATAGTTTTTCGTTTTACCTCAAAAAACCACAACAGTCTGTTTCATCCGTATAGGAATCATCAGGTGGATGAAACGGATGAAACGGATGAAACAGACTGTTGTGGTTTTTTGAGGTAAAACGAAAAACTATATATACATATATATATATATATATATATATATATATATATATATATATATATATATATATATATATATATATATATATATATATATATATATATAAGGCAGATGAAATCTCGATCGTTTCGGCGTATTTCGGTCTACCACGATGCACTGCTTCCGAGGCGGCAGCCTATTCTTGCCTAATAAACAGGCATAAGGCAAACAAGCAATGTGATCATCTTTCATCTTTGGGGTTTTTTTATGGAAAGCCATAGCTGGCGTAAGTGATCAAACGACATTTTGTCGATACGCAGTGGTTCGAGCGTTATACGCGGTGGTTTCGCTATTATACGCAGTGGTTCGAGCATTATACGCGGTGCGTTCGCCATTATACGCAGTGGTTCGAGCATTATACGCGGTGCTTTCGTCATTATACGGGGTGCTTTTAACATAATTTCCATATTCTTTCCATGTATATAATCTCAAGATTGCTTAATAAATCTGGTAGGCCTGTGCTTTTTGCCTCTGGTCTGCAATGAGGCCAATGACAATGACATGCTTTTAAAATGGTTTATTTATAAAAAGGTGACCGCACTTTGTGAGTTCTTATATATTAATATCATATAGTGTTGATTTATTAGTAATAAATATATGTATATAACATAGGTATATAAATTAATATAACGCAGCGAATGCGCGCCAAGCAGTATAAACGCGGCTGAAATACGATATTAAAATCTTGAATATGCCGTATGATTTAATTATGTTTTAGGATTTAAAGCCTTTAAAAATGCTTTGTCATAATGTCATTTGTATTTGTACTTGTACTGCATCACAACGCAGTGCGTAAGTGAACAGATTCCACATGTGAGGTTGTCTTGTATACAGGGGCGGATCCAGCTCCTGAACTGACTGATGCATACATAAGAACTCGCATTTGTCGGGGGGTCCGGGGGTATCCTCCCCCGGGAAATTTTGAAATCTAGAACCTCGGAAATGCGATTTCCTGCGTTCTGAGCAAACTCTTTTGTTCCAATTCATACATCAGAGTCACAAATTTATTTGCTGCATTTTTGGAAAGCACGTAAAAAACTTGAACCTATATATCGCAAAAACAACATAATTTTTCCATATAAGAAAAAATATTTGCTTGTACAAGTGTAATAGCAGCAGCGGTGCATAAGTCTCTATTAAAAAATAGTCAGTACTTACTACTGTGCTTCTTGTAGCCTTAACTTTTCTATTGAAAAACATTTCGGCAAAAAATCACGACAACGCAAATACACACATACGTGTAACAAAGGTGTATACAGTGTGATCCACTAGTTGCAATGTTGGACTCAAAAGACAATGTTATTAGGTTTCTTAACCACCTTCCCTGAGGCTTATTCATTTCCACTAATTTGCAATGTTCCATGAGTAAATTTTTTAGCATTAGAATGATGCATAAAGGTATTTTGTGCTCTAGTTGGTAAACTTATTTATATACAACTCTGTCTTATGCTGCTAACCTTACTCTGTATGGACAGTGTTGTTGGCATCAGTATGTCAACTTTATTCACCCCTAGCAATAGATGCCTTTGATGTGAATTGCATATTTGCATGGTGACTAGCCCACACTCTAAATTACTGAGAATATTGCCCTGTCACCAGGAAACCAGTAAAACTAACACACAACAAGCACTGAGTTTTAAAATTCTATAAGTATAACTATAGGTACACATGACCCCAAACTTTAAATCAATAGATATATATATAGTGATACTGTGTGTAAATTGATTTAATGAACTATCTTAGTTGAAAATTGTTTGTCAAATGAACCTACCAAACTGTACAATGATAAACATATATATGATGACATAATTGAATCATCAGATGTCTTCTATCAGTCCCCTTTTGCCTGCCTTTCAACTAATATATTAATATAGTACTCTTTTAAGATGATGTCAATGTAGAAAGGCTGCGCAGTAGTATTGATCAATATTTTCCCTGTATTACTATATAAATGCACATCTTCGTCAAATATATCCGTACACTTATCAATGGTAATGCTCAGAGAGCCATGCTGGCTATCCAAAACATAGTATTGGGAGAATTAAGCACTACAAATATATATAATTTAATTAAATCTATACCACTTTTGTGAGGAAATTTCATAATTATAACCTATATACACCAGTTACATGCAGTTATATACAGTATTTATAACGTCCATCATTTTATCATTCTAAGATTAAAATTTGTCAACAGAATGACATATACAGCTTATATCAAATTATATTTGCACCGACAAAGCATATGTACCAAACTATGGTAGGCGAGCAGCCCAGGTAATGATCTTTGTTTGCAAAATATCCAGTGTACAGTAATTGCCCAATAACTCAGGCAATGCAAAGCAATTATACTCTTGTCATGAGGCACGCCAGCTCATTTCCATATAAAATGAAATGTAATGTTTTCTAACCAATATTGCATCACTATTAGAAATCCAGCTCATTAACCCATTAAGCGCCAGCACTCTCCCCTTGACAAGTAAAATCGTCTGGCGTTAGACAGAGTAAAATACTAAAGTAGGGTGCATCAGGGTGCAATGCGACTCAATGGGTTAATTAACCTGCAATATTATTATACATTCTAATTACATACTGTACAGTGCCTGATGCAAGTCTTGACCCACACCAAAGTTTTATTTTTAGTACCGGTATCCAATCAAAATGTGCCAGGCGAAATGTCAAATTATTTCACATAATTTAACAACAAGCTAAATATAGTTACAATCACTATTTAATCTATCATTATTTAATTATATATAGCACTAACCAAAATATCAAAAAAATACATTAAATATGGCAATGCTAGAAGTAGTCGGCAATCAGAGTTACAACCATAAAAGCAGTTGTAGGACACAAACATTTAATAACATGTGACTTTATCAGGTCTTCATTTTTCTTTGCCCGCCAGCTGTGAGAAAAATGAAGGTCTGCATGGGCACAGGTTATATAAATCCTGGTATGAACAGCAGTATCAAATAGACACAAACTTGAATTATTATGTTAATACATACAAATCTACATTGAACTGAACAATTAACAATGTACTACAATGTAAAATATACATAAATTCCACTTACTTTAGAGCCCTAGTGGCCGTAGTGGGCATCTCACATTCTCACAGTATAAATATACTTCAATTCTTGTGCTCACTGCTCAGTTGAAAGATCAAATTCATTCCAAACCTCGGTAATTAATTCGACTGTAACTTAATTGCTCTCCATCATATTCGAGGGATATTTCTTCGCATTATTTGTTGAATTTTGTTCATTTGCATATAGTGTTTGCATATCCTTGCCGCCATGACTTGAATCGAATGCCTCGTTACGTCACAGTAGATTTTGATTTTGAAATTTGCATCAGTGAACTGATGCGAGCGCCCGCAATCTGCATGCGATGCATCGCTCAGCGGACTAATCTACCCTGACGTAGGGCTCTAAAACAATAGATTTGATGATGTCACAGTAGATTTTACGCGGAAAAGGACTCGGGACCGATGCATTCACTGATGCAAAATGGCTGAAAATCGATGCAAACAAAATCTACCGTGACGTAGGTGATGCATCAGCTTTCTACTGTGACGTCAAAGGATGTTAATGCGGTAAAAAAAATATTTTGTCGCGAAATTATTCACGCTTAAGTGTCGCAAAATAAAAAGTAAATAACAGAAAATACTTTTGCGATCGCACGTCGCATATTGGACTTATTTTGACAATTTCGACTGTTATTGAGACAATTTAAATTGGATTTCATCCTAAATAGTGTATTCCCGACATGGACAGTCACATGGAGTCAAGTTTAAGCAAATAGTTGCGGTTTGATAGCTGGAGAGATTCAAAGATATTCTATTACTGAGTGCTTGACTAAGTATTGCCGACATATTATTTCAAGCAACATGATTTCTCAATTTTGACCGATGCATTCGCATCGTTGGCATCGGTCTGGATCCGCCCCTGCTTGTATATATTTTTGCCTTCTTTGATAAACAGTGAGACGCACACTCGCACATGTCACCTGCATGTCATTGTCATTGCATGCCCTTTAACCCCTGGTCTAAATCATATGATTATTGAAGCGGGGCCGTTTTGACCTAGCACCGCTGCACCGTATTTGTAAGCAAATTGTCTATACAATTTTATATACTAGATATCACAGCCATACCTGCCATTTTGATCTTTTACTCGCGTTAGATAAGTTGATAAGTACACTCATTCTTGTTAGCCATCGTACCTGTTCGGCTGTTCCTCTTTCGATACGAAACTTCGAGCGCCGAGTTATCATACGGCACATTCAAGTGTATAAATTAATGATGATTCCAACGGACCATTCCCCGAACAAAATTTTGAACTCAACAAATCTAGACTTTGCAATTTTCAGTCATTTTAGATTACAAACGGGAGATGGTTACCACTTCTGTGCGTAATACAAATTACAAAATGACTGAAAATTACAAACTTCGCAAAGCTATATTATCCGCATTTTACAACATTTTGCAACGAAACTTTGGAATATTACTAATTTTGTGATGCTCTTTCAAGTTGTGATAAAATTTTTGTTTAGGCTAGTTAAGATCAAAATTTTGGAAAAGTGGTAACCATTTCCCGTTTGTAATCTAAAATGACTGAAAATTGCAAATTTCGCAAGGCTATATTATCCGCATTTTACAACATTTCGCAACGAAACTTTGGAATATTACTAATTTTGCGATCCTCTTTCATGCTACGATGGAATTTTGTCTAGACTTGTTGAGATCAAAATTTTGGTTAATATGGGAATTGTGATTACAAATATTTCTTACTCTTATTCTTTTTAAAAAATATTAAAGATTTGGGAACAATGCTATATCAAGGCAGCATTCACTACCCTGTGGGTAAACTAGTATAACTAAGTAAATGTACGCACGTAATCGTAATCTTTCAGAAATTGGAAACTCTTCGCATGAAATGAAACGTGGAATTACTGTAAACCACATGAAGAATGAATGATAAAATATTCATCATTACACATGTTAAAAATTTCAGGCCAAAACGAACCATATTGCGAAATTTGGTCTTAGATTTGTAATACAAAGTGTCAATTTAACGAATAAGACAACTACATCACCTTCACAAACATATCCGTCGCCACTGAAGCCATCATAACAGGTACAGTTGTAACCTCCTCTTGTATTTGTACATGTTGCGTTGCCATCACATTCATGCGTATTACGATCGCACTCATCGATATCTAAAATATTTCATTGCACTTTGTAATGTTTGTAAGTTTCCTGCAACCAAATACAGCTAAATCAATTCAGGATGTTCTCTAAAATCCGAAAAACGTCGAAACACAAGCACGAAAACACAAAGGACGTGTTTTGTTATGATGCGATTGATTTTGCATGCATGTTAGCACATTTATGCTAATCACTAGCCAGCTCGCAGACGTTATTCTTACGCCAAACGACGAAAAACTAAAGTCTGCTGACCCGAGCTGCACATTCCATTCCCTTTGTTTAGGAGCCAATCTTGTGGCAGTTTTCACTGTTCAAAAGAGTTAGAGCCAATTGAGAGCCGCCTTACTCAGGGGTTTGCTACTGAGGAAAGCCCTTGCACATGGGAATATATTGTTTAGGTTGAAATTTGTTTACTTGCGTGGATATATTTTGGAAACTATAGCATTGAACTTCACGATGTTTACTGTACGTAAAATAATATTGTGATCATCTTCTCGAATTTTTTCTGTGTTGGTCTTGTGTACTCAGGTGAATATAATATTTGTGATCCACACTGGGCGAGCTTGAAAAATATGCCCGGCCACGGTGGGAATCGAACCTACAACCTTTGGAAGACTAGCCCAATGCTCTGCCAACTGAGCTACGTGGTCAGGTCGGTTCGAGTAAGTGATATTTCGGAACAGAATCTAGTTCCTTCGATACCAATGTAATCTAGTAATATGTTTTTTTCTGTGTTGGTGTTGTGTACTCAGGTGAAGATGATATTTGTGATGTTACTCTGAGTGTATATCCGCACCGTGCGAGCTTGAAAAATATGCCTGGCCAAGGTGGGAATCGAACCTACACCTTTGTAATACTAGCCCAATGCTCTGCCAACTGAGCTACGTGGTCAGGTCTGTTCGAGTAAGTGATATTTTGGAACAGAATCTGGTTCCTTCGATACCAATGTAATCTAGTAATATAATTTTTTCTGTGCTGGTGTTGTGTACTCAGGTGAATATGATATTTGTGATGTTACTCTGAGTGTATATCCACACCGGGCGATCTTGAAAAATATGCCCGGCCACGGTGGGAATCGAACCTACGACCTTTGCAATACTAGCCCAATTCTCTGCCAACTGAGCTACGTGGTCAGGTTGGTTCGAGTAAGTGATATTTCGGAACAGAATCTAGTTCCTTGGATACCAATGTAATCTAGTAATATGATTTTTTCTGTGTTGGTGTTGTGTACTCAGGTAAATATGATATTTGTGATGTTACTAGTATTCCAAAGGTCCTAGGTTCGATTCCCACCGTGGCCGGGCATATTTTTCAAGCTCGCCCGGTGTGGATATATACTCAGAGTAACATCACAGATATTATATTCACCTGAGTACACAACACCAGCTCAGAAGAAATCATATTACTAGATTACATTGGTATCGAAGAAACTAGATTCTGTTCCGAAATATCACTTACTCGGACCGACCTGACCACGTAGCTCAGTTGGCAGAGCATTGGGCTAGTATTCTAAAGGTCGTAGGTTCGATTCCCACCGTGGCCGGGCATATTTTTCAATCTCGCCCGGTGTGGATATACACTTAGAGTATCAGTAACATCACAAATATCATATTTACCTGAGTACACAACACCAACACAGAAAAAGTCATATTACTTGATTACATTGGTATCGAAGGAACTAGATTCTGTTCCAAAATATCACTTACTCGAACCGACCTGACCCCGTAGCGCAGTTGGCAGAGCATTGGGCTAGTATTCCAAAGGTCGTAGGTTCGATTCCCACCGTGGCCGGGCATATTTTTCAAGTTCGCCCGGTGTGGATATACACTCAGAGTAACATCACAAATATCTTCTCGAATGTTCTGCAAACAATCGGTGTATACATAAAATGCAGAAGCGATGCAGTAGGCGAAATTTAAATTTTGTTAACAATCAATCGATCGGGAAACGCGGGTAAATCATGATAATTATGTGCAAATGTTGCTCTTGATACGTACTTCCTATATGCCATGACTTCGACGAAAACTTCTAAAAGATTAAGCTCTCGTTTATTCGAAGTTTGGGCGAATTGGAGAATCCATCTCGGCGCAATTACAAGTTTCTCGGGTTTGTGTTGTGTTTACAGTTTACATTGAGAAGTAGTTGCTCAAACAGCAAATTAGTTTACTTGGAGGCTACTATTTCGCTTTCTAAGCCACAGTATTGTATAAAATTTTCTGTCTTCTGAGTTCTGTTGTCTTAAAGATAAACATCCGTCAAAAATCAAACTGGCCTGAATTCATACAGTGTAGTGCTATCCTGTCCGCGTTAACCGAACATCTTCAATATCCGAATCTGATCGTTAATGGTGCATTTTATTACCTGGCAAGTATCAATATCTTTAAATTCAATTTATGTGCAATTTTGACCAATATTCAACCGACGACTGCATCCAAAATATTTATCTAGTACTTATTCCGCTATTAAATCAACTGACGTCACTTTCCAGAATTTGGAAGGTAAATTCTGATTGGTTGAAGTAGCAGAATTCATTCTGGCGCTCGGGTCAGCAGACGTTAGTTTTTCGTCGTTTTTAATCCAGTATTGGTATTTGGAATAGCTCTGTTTGAATAAAGTTTTTTTCAAGTGGGGAAGTTCTTTTTTGGGACAATCTTAGTCTTATGTTGCGCAAATTCACAACATTTTAAAAAATAATGTATACCTTTTGTTTTGAAATGGTGTTCAAGGGCTGTATTGAATTTAAGCGTGGGTTTTGAAGTGGTAAATTGAAAGATCAAGGTTTTATGTACATCAAGTATGTTATCGTAAAATAAAGTGGGCATAAAAAATCATTCTAGGTATATTTATAGCAAATATTGATAAGATTTAGTGGCAGAGATAACATATCTTAAAAAAAGGAGGTTTTCAGACACAACTGTTTGAAATTTGGCGTAAGAATAACAACGTCTGCAAGCAGGCTAGCTAATCACGTGATTTAATTTCTGAAGGAGTTAAGCTGGTCCTATAAAAAAGTTAAAACGTTTAAAATTCCAATGAATTCAGAGGGGTTTGCCATGGAATTGTGTTAGACGAACAAATCAAATCCGAAAAATTAAGGTTTAAAAGGACGAGAATTCGTATATTATAAATCGGCGCTTTTTTTCAGTTGAGATCACTATATTGTACGTGCCTTCGAACAACCTGTCATTGACATATAAACCAACAAACAATACAAACACATCCCCTATACCTTGGCAGTGTGTACCATTGCCTTCGAATCCACCATTACAAGAGCAGTTGTACGATCCAATAGTATTTGTACACGTGGCATTGTCATGACAATCATTTTCACCATCACACTCGTCAATTTCTGCAATTAAAAACATTTCAAAAATTGTGAACAGAAACCGTTACACGTTCGAACGTACTAGCAGAAATAGGCGCTAAAAATCAGCTAACACTCGCCTGTATGTAGCAACTTTAGCGGGATTCGCAACATGCATGCGTTATCTATCTGCTGTACTGTCCGCATTCACTTTTAACTTCAAAATTATAACTAAATGTATATACTAAGGATGGCTCGAAATTTATGCTGTTCATGACAACTAGACTGTATTAGGGATATATGGCATAACGCCGCATTGATTTGCATATAATTGTGAAAAGTTGCCCAATAATGCATGCACGGTCATACGCATATAATATCGTCTCGCAAACAAATCTAGATAATTTAATATCCCGATTTTTAACACAAAGCTTAGCATTTTATCCTAATTTGTTAACACTTTAACACTAGAATCATCATTTCATAATTACCAGCAAACCCACCTTCAGGTATGTTTGTCCCAAAGCGGGACACTGCATGCTATCACACCATATTAGTACGTATAATGTTTGAGTATTATTTTATTATTATTATTATTATTAATGGTTTAAGATACACACCTTCGCAATAGATTGAATTATGGTGCGTTTACAAAATTGGTACGCTATATATTTACATATATAAAAAATTTAGTTGCATGCATCAAGTCTAAAAATCTTATTGAATTGCATTAAAATCATCGTAATTAAGTATCACGCTTAAGTTTCTTTACTATAACTATTATATAGAGCTACTGTACTGGGAAAAAAGCTACGGCGATATCTTTCTGTTCGGCATTTTATTGTTGTGTTAGAGTTTCTAAGTTCATAATCATTTGAACTAGCCCTAGACAATGGAACATATTTTGACAGTGGTCCTTCAATTTCTATGCGTTTCATAGTATTGAGGCAATGTCGTTCTCGCCTTTCATCCAATCTGGAACACCCAAGTTGTGCTAATGCTTCCCTATAAGAGTAACGCGGTAAAATGATCCTCAGCGCTCGTTTTTGCACTCGCTCTAATTCATCGGCGAGGTATGTACAAAGGTAGGGCATGATGCCATACCACCAAACAGTACTCCAGAACCGATCGTATTAAGGCAAAGTATATACTCAATAAGTCTTCCGCAGGGACACCACCTCGTCGTAATATGTGGATGATATATAAACGTTTAGAAGCCTTGGATACAACTGATTCTATGTGTGCATTCCATTTAAGATCGTTTTGGATAACCAGACCTAGGACTTTATGAGACCGCACAACCTCAAGCGCATGACCGTCGATCAACAATGGTGATAGATCAGGTGATTCCCGCAGAAAGCAAACGCGTAGTTCTTTGCACTTTTTGGGGTTAAGTTTCATAAGGTTGCACGAAGCCCACGAATTTATAGTATCAATGCAGAACTGAAACTTTGAATTGCTGCCCTTTGTGATATTTTCAGATGTTGATATGTCATCCACAAATTTCCAAATATCCGTTGCGTGTGGTTTCACATCGAGATCATTTATCATCGCCAAAAACAGAATTGGACCGAGTTTAGTTCCCTGGGGGACACCCGCATTCATTGGCAACCAGTCTGACGTTTTCCCTCCAAGTTTGACCCGATGACGGCGGTTAGTTAGGAAGTTGATAATCCAAGGCAACAGGGACGATCTAACACCCAGGTCCAACAGCTTTAATATCAGTAAATTATGTCCTATACGGTCAAACGCCTTTTCGAAGTCAAGGAAACAAAGTCTAAGATGTTTTTCAGGACACTCTAAGTTGCACAACCAAGTGTGGATCATGTCTAAAAGACAATAAGTTGTGGATGTTCCTTTCAAGCATCCAAACTGCCTGGGGTCGATCTTGTCTTTAATATCGGTTATCATCCACCCGACCACGAAATCGTCAAGAACCTTAGCCAGGCAGGGTGTCAGTGAGATGGGTCTGGTGTCACCTTCACAGGTAGGAGATTGTGATTTTGGAACTGGTATGATGTCTGAGTCTTTCCATATTGCAGGCACGATTCCAGATGAAAGTGATTCGTTGAAAATAGTTGCAACAGGTTCGGCTAATTCATGGGCAAACTCTTTCAGGATACGACAAGGGGACGTTATCTGGGCCGTGAGCTTTAAAAGGTTTAATTTCTAAGAGCTTTTTAGATACTTCATGTGGTTGAACTGTTGGAGCAGGTTCTTTGGCCGGAAGAAATGCCGGGAGTGTCGCTAAATTAAGTGGTGGAATGTCACTATTCACCGATGCATAGAACACATTCAAAGCTCTAACTAATTCTGATTGATCCAGAGTTCTTCCATCATGTTCAAGCAAGAAGGAGTTCTTTACAGATTTTCCTGCCATTTTATTTACGATTTTCCACCACATACGGCAGCCATCCTTCTTTAAATGTTGTACCTTTGTTTTGTAGTACGATATTTTCCTCGCATTGATTTCATGTTGGACCTTATATTTCAACGATTTCCACAAGATTGTATTATGACCATGAATCGCCTTTTGTCGATATTTGATAATTATATTATAGTATAAAGCCGAATAATGTCAAATATTCAGCACCTTAAAGTTGACCTTATCATTCTGAAGGGAGTTTCGACAATCGGCCCCCTCTGCCCCACCTGTTACATCATATCTTGCAACGAATCGCAAAGATTTTAATTCAACAGGATATTAAACTCAAAGTGGCATCTTAACATTCACCTTATCATCTGCTACGGACGCTAGACTATAGCAATAGCTCTTCTGCACTAAAACACTTCTCCCACCTTGTGGTCAAAGAAATATCATGTTGCAACTCAGGATAATAGGTGTACGCAACGATTATTGAAGCGCGCAACGATTGTTAACATAAAAATTGAACATAGGAAATTGAGCCGCTAAAGATATGAACGGTGGTCGGAAATTGGAAACTCTTGGCATGAAATTAAACTAACGTGGATTTAAACCTCATGAAGTACTATTTAAAGCACGCGTAGAAGTGTTTTATCAGATATAAAACGCGAGGCGCAGCCGAGCGTTTTATATCTGATAAAACACGACTACAAGTCGATAAAACACGACTACATGGCTTAAAAAACGACCCATCTTCTGATGAGTACATTAGTGAAGTAATTTTTAAAATAAACTTTGTTTAAACCGAGAAAATCAAAGCTAAAGTTTAAGTAAATGAACATGATTTTTTATCACATATAAAGATACCACACGCTTATGATTTTTCTTTGTGTTTTGCTCCTGAATTATTAATAAGTTTTTTAAGAATCAATAACAGATTCATCATTGCTAGTATCTACAAAGTTTTCTGGCCAAAACGAACCATATTGCGAAAATAATTAGTAAATTTGATTATTTGGTCTTAGATTTCTAATACAAAGTATCAATTTTAAGAAGACAGAAACTTCACCTTCACAATCATATCCATCGCCACTGAATCCATCATAACAGGTACAGTTGTAACCCCCTCTTGTATTTGTACATGTTGCATTGCCATCACATTCATACGTATCACGATCGCACTCATTGATATCTACAATAGTTCAATGCACATTAATATGAGTTCCTTGTAATCAAATACAGCTATTAGTAGTATAGAGAAGGGGGGTTCTACGACGGGAAGTGCGGGCAGTGCATTTAGCACCGCCGATGGCGTCATCATTTCTTAAGTCATTTAATTTGTGAGCAGGCGTAAACTGCAGTGCTGCTCAAAAACAAGGCATTTCCACACAGTCAGTGCTAACAGAATAAGCTGCCAATTTTGCGGAAAGCAATTTAGCCGTGCTTACAATCTAAGAGGACATGAAAAGGAATACTGTCCCGTACGCAAACAAAAAGTAAACATGTCTCAAACAGACTTGGATAGCCAGGGAAGGGATTTCCAAGACGACGTTTCGACAACTTCAGCTCAAGGGTCTGAAATTTCCACTGATTATGAGTCAGAAACTGAAGAAGAAATGGATCCTTGGATACCATTCATAGAAGTAGCATAGCAAAGAAATAATACTAAAAGCTTTTCAGGAAATGAGAGAAAGCCTTATCAACAGTGGTCTGGATGAACAATCCGCTAATTACAATGGTTGCTCTAATATTCTGCCTGAACTCCAGAACGAACTGGAAAATATTTATTTTGGAACGTCTTGTGTGGATGAGACAACTAAAGAAAAATCCAGTACATAAGAAAATTATGCAGACAAAGGATGCGCTCGTGAAAAACAATTACGTTGATCCAGAGGAAGGTATGGAAGCTGCTTTGAAACGAGGAGATTTCTTATAAAAAAGCTTGTTAATGATGCTGATTAGACTAGATTAATAGGATTAAAGTCATGTATTCGAACAGTATTAGCATGTAAAAACATACCAGTATTAAGCCACAGCATGTAAACTTCTAGTAATTGAATATATTGCTTTTCAGTTAACTGTCTTTTCTTGTCATTTTTAGATGGGTCAATCGGGTACACAATGAAATGGCAAAAACGTATGCGCGAAAATGTATACATATGTGTACTAATCAATTTTCCGCAGCGGTTTCCACGAACGAAGAATGTTCACCCTGTCTTCGGGCCTAGACGGGCCTTATGAGAAGATGAGCATCTGCTCATGAGCAGGCATGATTTTGAAAATCTAATAAAATCTATTCGCATTAGTTTGTGTTTAAACCGGCCTTATGAGCAGCACATGCTCATCTGGTCATAAGGTCCGTTTAGGCCCGATGGCCCGAAGACAGTGTGTACTTTCTTCGTTCGTGGAAACCGCAGCAGAAAATTGATTAGTACACATATGTATACATTTTCGCCCGTTTTTGCCATTTCATTCTGTACCCGATCAACCCATGTAATAATGACAAGAAAAGACAGGTAATTGAAAAGCAATTCATTTAATGACTCGAACTTTACATGCTTGCATGTGTCTTAATACTGGTATGCTTTACATGCTAATGCTGTTCGAATACATGACTTCAATCCTATTAATTTATAATCATCATTATTGTTCTCTTCAACAAAATATAGTAATCCTTTAAAAGCTTTTTTATATGAAATTTCCTCTTATCAATAGCAGCTTCCATAGCTTCCTCTAGTTCAAGGCCAGCGTTTTTCACAAGCGTATCCTTTGTCTGCATAATTTTCTTATGTACTGGATCTTTCTTTAGTTGTCTCAACCACACGAGATGCTCCATATAAATATTTTCCAGTTCGTTCTGGAATATAGGCAGAATATTAGAGCAAGTATTGTCCTTAGCGGATTGTTCCTCCAGACCATTGTTGATAAGGCTTTCTCTCATTTTCTCAATACAGCACAACGCAACGCAACGCAACACAACACAACACAACACAACACAACACAACACAACACAACACAATACAACTTTATTTCACTCTTAGATAGAAAAATATACATAAATTAATAATACACAATTCTTAAATAATTAATACATAGATAGAATTTATATTTTGCATAACATTTTTAGAGCTTGGAGGTCAAGTGAACCGTTAGGTTTTTAGTTAGCTTCAATTGTTTTTATTCTTATTAGATTAATATACATTATAATGTCAGACAACTGAAGAAAATATTTTAATTTTCCATTAGTCTATGTTAATAGAAAGGCTGAAGAATATGCAATAAGTATAATTTATATCATAAATGATGCAAATTTCAATACGTATGTTGTTTAGCCAATAAGTATAGGTTTAAGCTTGCTTAAAGAAGGGAAACAAAGGTAGATTTTTAGTTATATCTGGGAGATCCTTCTATAAATTAATTGCTCCAACAGATGGTTTATACATGTTTAAATTAGATGAATATCTGGTATTATAACCATGAAAATCTCTTGAATCATGGAAGAAATTATCAAATATGTGTGGCAACAAACTTTGGTGCCACGCATAAATAAATTTCAAGGCATATAGGCGATATACATTTTGAACTGTTAAGATATCTTGCTAATGGCTGTCTTTACCAGCTCATATAATACTTTCCCTTCCGCGGATTTGGTTGAATAGAAACCAGTAAATGTCTCTTGGGTTTTGCTGTCGAAAACATATCTAAGGGAAAGAGATACCTGCTCTGTTCGACTGATATCTGCCGTTTCGTCGCCAACTATTCTGTAATAGTCGCTACCTCTCGCTTCTGCTGCTATCCTCTCAAGCATGACGTTTCCTACTATTTCCAGTAGTTCATTTTGAATAACAGGTGATGTCCACTGTGCATGTAACTGGAGCTGGCTTTGTTTCACTGTCCGTCACCGTATTCTGTTCACTATTTTCTCTGAGCTGTGACAGTGCATTTAATTCATCAACATCAATGAACGTTGTCATTGGTTCCGTTTGGCCTTCGCTCATGGGTTCCTTCACATTTTTCTCAGATAGATCTTCATCAAAAGACACTGTGTCTGCAGAATCTTTACTACCACTCGATTCAGTTCCCAGTAGAGTATAGGTCGAAACATAAAGCTGTGTTGGAAAGACCTCTTAATATAACTGACAGGTGTAGTATTATGATATGGTATACTTTCAGCGAGTTGGTCACCCAGATTTATATAATCATTATTCAATTGATTGGCAATGCTCGTTCTATTTTATAATATATGATTATTGTAGCTGTTAAGTTATTTTCCATACTAACTAGAAATACATGCATGCAGCAACCCCTCGCATGTATTTTCCAAACATTGATTTAACATGAAGTATTAGTAATTGATCAACACTGAACGCAGGCTCGCGTTTACGTCAGTGTTGCCATGGCAACACGATAAAATGATAAATTTAATTTTTATTATATTTTTTGTATAGCACGCCAAAAATAGTTGAAAGATCATTGCTTTTAATTATATAACAATGAATTTGGACTTTTAATTATATAACAATGAAAATGAATGAATTAATTGTGAGCTTCGATTTAATGTAAAATTTAACCTGAATCGCTTCGTAAAAGTATAAAGTATAAACAGCTTTTCCGATAAACTGTTTTTACCTTTTTACCTTCAAATTGTTGAGTAATTTCAGTTCGGTTTTCAAATTAATTTGCTCTCCTTTACATTTTACCTTTTTTTCTTAAATTAAACAGGGTAATTTAGCAAACTTTAATACAAGTTGGACAATCAGTGTTGGCTATTCATGACAGTCCGCTATATTATGAGATCAGTGAGGATTACCACCCACCGAAACACGCACAGTGACCCACGCCAGCGATAATTGATTAAGTAATAATAATCAATAAGATGCTAGCGAAATCTTGGCTCATCAGTCATGCAGAACGGACTTAAAACTATTGGAGAGTGTGCAGAAGCGAACTACGCGTTTCATCTTCAACTGCAGCAACGATCATCATGTCCGACCCAACTACAAGTCCCGCTTGATTACTCTCAACCTGCTTCCTATTTCCTACTGGTTGGAGTGTCGTGACTTATGCTTTGTTTACAAGTATATGAGCGGTTCATTTAATGTACAGCTTGAAGATTACATACAAGTCTCAAGTGGTCGCACCAGGAGCTCTACTGATAGTTTAAATCTGTATCCAGTACACCGTCTCCGTACTTCATTATTTAGAGACTCCTTCCTCAATCGTGTTGTAAAGCTTTGGAATAATCTACCGCTTGAAATTCGGAAATCATCTTCCATCAGTGCGTTTAAATCTCGTTTATATAAACATTATTTTATAAAGTTACGGAACGTTTTTGATACGGACAGATTAAGTACGTGGAAGACAATATGTCCTTCTTGTAGGTCTATTGACAGCCCTTCCTGTTGTTAGTTAATAAGCAGCGAAGGTGTGTTACTGAGGAGAATGCTACACTGTACCATCCCGGTCTCTTCCTCAGATTGACTGTACAATATGCATCCTTCTCTTAAAACCAGAATTAGGGTTAGTACTATAGCGCATGGGTTAAGATTATTTTCCGAAATAATTTCCATCAATTACTTGTTTCAAGTGGCCGTTGGTATGTGCAGTCAACCTGAGCGAGAGACTGGGCTGTCTGTTCAGTGGTATTAGAGAACTTTTATTGAAGTTCTCAAAGAGACCAATGTTGCTTTGAAACTGAAATGTGAAGAAAACAATTGGTCGTTTATAGATAATAGTAATATAAACAGCTTACATTTAAATCGCAGGAGCTTACACCTAACTCATGAAGGGAGTGCCCTATTACAAGCCAATATAGGAAATATATTAAAATGATATGATAAGAGGCCGAGGGGGAAAGATAATGAGACAAATTGGTCAGATATTCCTAAATTAAGAGGTTTTAGAATGGCTATGCTCAATATAGCTAGCCTTCCGAAACACCTTGACGAAATTCGCCTGCTATTGCATGATAAATAATTGGATGTCTTGGCACTAAATGAAACTCGCCTTGACTCCTCTATTTCGGACAACCTTATGAGTATCGAGGGTTACGATATACTGCGCTCTGATCGAAAACGAAATGGAGGGGGAGTATGTATATACGTTAGGTGTCATGTAAACTATGAAAACCGTCCAGATTTAATTCCAAACGATCTAGAAGCCGTTTGTTTGGAAATAAAACAAGCCAATAGTAAGTCTTTCATTTTTTCGAGTGTTTATAGACCTCCAAATAGAACTGTTGAGACTTTTTCAAAAATTGAAAGGTTAATTCAATTAGTGGATGATGAAAACAAAGAAGTTTACATGTTAGGCGATCTAAACTGTTATCTACTCGATTCAAATTTGTCGAATGTTAAAATGCTTCAGGAAATAATGCAACTGTACCAATTAACACAAATAATTGATGATCCTACACGTTTTACCAAATCTACAAAATCATTACTTGATGTTTGCATTACTTCCTCTCAGGATAAAATTATTCAATCAGGCGTGGTGCATCTCGGTATACGTGATCATAGTTTAATCTATGCAACACGTAAACTAAATTCCGTGATTAAAGGAAATTCTCAAAATTCGGTTGAATTTAGAAACTTTAGGAAATTCAATGTTGAAAGCTTTCTTAGTGACTTGTATATGCTTCCATGGGTAGAGCTTGACTGCAAACAAAACGTGGATGAAATGTGGGAATGCTGGAAAACCTTATTTCTTCAAGTGCTTGACAAACACGCACCGAAGAGATTAAAAAGATTAAGGAAAAAGGGTAATGTTCCCTGGTTCAATAAAAGTGTTAAAAATAAGCTGTTTGAGAGAGACCATTTTAAGCGCGTAGCAATAAAAACCAATAATGAAAATGATTGGAAGCTGTACAAGTCATCTCGAAATGCTGCAAATATTGCCTTGCGAAATGCTAAAAGGGAATACTATGCAACAAAATTCCTCAATAACAAAACGAACCCAAAATATGCGTGGAAAACAGTTAATGAGATACTAGGAAGAAGTCAGAAGCAAAATATTGTTAACGAAATTAATCTACCAGAGAAAACAGTTACATCAACTACTGAACTGGTTAATGTTTTTAATGATTATTTTACCGATGTTGGTCCTAAACTTGCTGAAAAATTGAATACGAACACAACTGTAGCTTTCGAGATTTCATTCCTCAACATGAACCAGTTGAGAGATTTATTTTCCAACCTGTAAATGTTGCAACAGTTTATAGACTTATAACCAAATTAACTATCTCCAAAGCTACAGGTATCGACAAAATTTCAGCTAAAGTATTAAAGGCTGCAGCTCCTGCTATTGCAGAGCTTTTAACAAGGATTTTTAATATGTCTATTGCTACTGACAGATTTCCGATGGAGTGGAAAGCACCACGAGTAACTCCAATTTTTAAAAAAGGCCAACGGACTATGTTAGACAATTATAGACCAATTTCAATTTTACCTGTGGTCAGCAAACTGATGGAAAGGATTCTGTACGACCAAATGTATGATTATTTAAAGAAACAGAATATTCTTTCAAAACATCAGTTTGGTTTTAGACAATTTCATTCCACAACTACCACACTCTTAGATTGTACTAATGAATGGTATATTAACATGGACCGTGGCCTATACAACATAGTTGTTCTTCTCGATTTGACGAAAGCATTCGATACTGTCAACCATGAAATTCTTTTACGTAAGTTCGAACGGTATGGCTTTGGTAATAAAGCCCTAGATTTACTAAGTAATTACTTAACAAATCGAACACAAAGATGTCATCTAAATGGAATGCTTTCAGATCAGAGAGGAATAACTTGCGGCATCCCTCAGGGAAGTATACTTGGCCCTCTTCTGTTTATTATCTATATAAATGATTTGCCAAATTGTCTCAAACATACAACACCAAGGATGTTTGCCGACGATACCAGCCTTACAGCTGTGGGCAAAACATTAAATGAAGCAAAAGAGATAGCGAATAAGGATTTGAAAAATATTAAAGTGTGGTTGTCTTCAAACAAACTTAGCTTAAATATTGCGAAAACGGAATATATTTTAATTGGATCACGTTCTAAGATTAATAGCATGGATGTCCAACCCACAGTTAAGATCGACACATGTCCGATCAAAAGAGTAAAAAGCGCAAAAGTGCTAGGAGTTGAAATCGATGAGAACCTAAACTGGGAAAAACATATTGAATATATCGCTAGTAAAGTATCTTCGGGGATTGGTGCGTTAAAAAA